GGAGGGCCCCTCTGGGCCGCAGGGTCGCTCCGAGCTTGAGGGGGGGGATGCAGGGAGGACCCCCGGGAACGGGGGAGTGCGGGAGGGTCCCTGCGGGGCTGGGGAGGGCATCCCCGGTGCCGCTTCGGGGGCTGGAAGGGCAGAGCCAGGCCGGGCCTGCGCTCAGCACAGCGGAGGGCTCGGCGGGGCAGCGGTGCCTGCACGGCACAGTGCCGTCTGCTTTCCTCTCCAGCCTTGCAGAGATGGGGAACGGGGCGCTGCATGCTCACCCCACCCCGTGCCCTTCTGCAGGGTGACCGCGCCTCCAATTCCCCTATCCCCTTTTCTTGGTACCCTAGCCTTTGCACCCGAGATTTTTCAGATCTGGAGGGGAGAAATGGCACAGGTCTCAGTCCCTTTGATTTTTTTTTGGAGGCACAGGATGGCAAGCGTTCGCAAAGTAAGTTGTCAAATGTGAACCGGGGTCTTCCCCCATATTTGTACTTGTCAGTTCTGGGCAGACACAGTTCATCTTGTTTGGAGCCCTGGATGGATTCCAGTCTATTCTGGTGAAACCCATTCACTACAGGGTTCCCTCCGTCCCCATCAAACTTCCCTCTGTGCTCCAAATATCACTCACGCATTCTCTCCATCTCCGCTTTCAAACCCACAGCCGGGGCTGGTCTTGAAAGCGCGCTCACAGGCAGTGGTCTTTTTAGCCAGCGGGAAGGGGGAAACCTCATGGTCTTGAGAACAGCACTAAAATCTTTATTGCTCAAACAAAATATCTTAGATTTGTAAAGTCCAGCATTGCATACCCAGTGTAACAAAGGAGAGGCATTCCTTACGATAGATATACTTGGTCGTTTCCCTTATCAGACAGAGTGTGACCCTTGCTGTGTTTTTCCTACTAGCCAGGCTGCTTCTGCAGGTGTGTTAGGACTGGACGTTGGCTGCTCCTCATCCTCTTTTCCCATCTTTTCTTGGACAGGGTGTCTGAAAGGTAGCCCATGTTGGAGTTTGAGGTCACAGGTAAAGAAGGAAAAGCAGGCTTTCAAAAAGCTATCGTGATATGGCTGTATTCAAACAAAACGAAAAGCACAAGAGAATTATTATTTTTTTTTTTACCCCATCTCCTTTGTTGCATGTCAAGACACATGGTAATTGTGCATAACTCAGTCAATGACAATGGTAATTCATTTGCTTACCGGGGCTGTGTTTTGCTCTTGATTTGATTTATATGTGATTCTTTTTATTTGCTTCTTTTTGCTTTTCGTCGTCATCCTTGTTGTTGTTTTCTTTTGCTGCCCCTGAGGTTAAGGCATTAGTCCAAGACTTTGCCAAGGATGGAAAAAGTAACTATCTGCTTACTTAAAAAACTGAATGCCAGTAATCAGCAAAATCTCTGTTACTTAGCCCTAAGATTCCTGAACGTTCTCCCGTCTCCCTGTGTTAGAGGTGCAGGGCTGGAAGGGAGCTCTGCATCTCCCCCGAAGCGTGGCTTTGTGTGACTTGTGCTGTTGGGTTCTGGCGGCAGCCGCATTCGCTGCCCTTCCCAGCGATGCCCTCCTGGCCACCAGGCTGCTCCGCAGCTTGCCTGGAAAGCCAGGAACAGAGCTGCACAGGGGGAAAGAAGGGAGATCCCTGGGCTACCGAGTAGATCCCTGGGTTGTGGGATCCAAATTCAGAGGGTGGCCCAAAAAGGGGAGTCTCCCACACTGGACACGAGTCTTTGAAGAGAACTTTCCTATGAAAAGAAGACTTTTC